GTCGGCTTTGCTTGCCTTTTGGAGTATCTCACCGTTTGCCGAAAACCGTTGGGGTTTGCAATTTTGTATTCCGTGCAACTACTTTCATTTTTATGGTACAGCACATTTGCGTAGCCATTCGTTCGGAGTTTTGCCGGTTTGGTTGCTAACTGGTGCTCGTTGCTCACGAATTCGAAACGGTCGTTACAGTTACTAAACACAAGGGATCAAACAGGGAGGAGGTCGAAGATAGTATTCCTCGTCGAGTGAGCAGCCGATTGGGAAAAACAAAGGTGAAGCGAAATTCATCCGCTTTAGCATCCCATTGTTAACCCAACGTCTTTTTGACTGTCTGAAAGGCTTCAGTGGAAAGCACCGATGACGAGACATACGACTGACACACCTCACTCGAGAGAGATTCTCTATTGCATATCTATCTTCTTAAATGGAAACCACCCTTTGATAAAACTCGACTTAGCTCACGCACAAATCTTTGAGCCACGCTCACATCTGGAAGTGATGCTAAACAATCGTCAACGTAGAAATATCTATCCACTGATTGTTTCACTTCAGCCATGCAATTCAACCCCTAGTCTGAGATTGTCTTTCTCAAGGCACAATCGGCACAAAATGGTGAGTACGTGGCGCCAAACGGGTGTGATGTCATTTGGAATTGCTTGGGCTTGCCGACCAAGTCTTCCGAGTCCCACAATAACACATGTAATGCACCCCTATCGCCTTCGGGAACCTTTACTTGCATGAACATTTCAGAAATGTCTGCAGCCACAGCTGCGTAATCACTCTGAGAGCGTAAAAGAACTCCCTACAAATTCGCAGCAGTGTCGGGACCGTGATACAATCTATCGTTCAGGGATACACCCTCGAACTTGGCAGCACAATCTAAGACGACTCACAGCTTTTGTGGTTTCTTCGGGTTCAAAGCAGGGTGATGAGGTAGACACCACTTCCTTTCGTCCCCTGATTTAGATTGATGAGTGGGTACAGGTTCCAGGTAGCCCTTAATGATGCCATCATTCATGCATTCTGTGTATCGCGCTAACAAAGTCAGATCCTTAGCAAAACGCCTCCCCATATATTGCAACCGATAATGGGCTAGACGATAACTGTCATGAAGTCTTTCAGCCGTTCTCCACGGTAATGGTACTCCGTAATGACCATCCTTGAAGTTGAAGACTCTTCAACATTTCGAAGCGCTTCTTTATCTTCGACACTTTGCATACGCCCGGAGTCTCTAAGTCCTTGAAATCAGCCTCATACGCAGCCTTAGGATGAGCAGTAATGTCATCATCTTTCGTACTTACATAGTGCGCCTGTCTCCAGACTCTACGTCCTATGAACAACGGACCAAGTAGAACCCAACCCAAAGGTGTCTTAACAGCGTAAGTTTCCTTTTGCTTCCCCAACCTTTTCTCCATAGGCCAATGTGCCTCTGGAACGTCTTCTCCTATCAATATTTTCACACGCTTATCTGGAATCTTCACAAAAGTAGTGCCCTTCAAGTGATTATATTGACTAGCTATCTCCATTGGGCTGATAGCTGGTGGGCTGATAGGCAAAGAGCGCATTACAAAGGCTTGTTCAGCCGCGACGGTATCACCTGAATCTGCTGAATCAAATTCGATTCTGAGACTTGCAGCCTCTACAGTGGAGGTCCCACTCACTGTCGATACATTCAAAGTTGTTGGAGTGCCGTTCAGACAAACATCATCAAGTAAGACATTCGTTACCAATGTTAAGTCTGACCCACTATCCAACAACGCTTATGTCAGAACACTGCCTTGCGGACTATTCACACGAACCGGTACGACGCCAAGGCAGGTTCCTGATTCCGTCTGAGATGTCGAGTTGCGCAAACCAACCAGCGTGGATTTGTTGGCATCTGGCACTACATGTAACAGATGACGGTGAGACCCCAGTCAGTTCTCTATACCACACTTCTTAGGAGGATCGCACTTGTTACTAGCATGGACTGATTTTAGACATACAAAACATAACCGCTTCCTTCTCACCACACGCTATCTTGCTTGCATTGGCAGGTCAGTGAAATTGCGCCAGCCCGGGTGTTCCGTCGCAAAAAAGGCACGAGTCATCGGTTCCCATCAGAAAGGAAAGTATATTATGGTGCCCTCCATTGACTACCCGATGATGCTGCGTTTGAAGACGATGGTGTTCTGAGCCTATGGTAAGCATACCATAGCGGCTGCGAGCACTGCGGGCCTCTTGAGAAACAAAGTTGCATGGATCAGAGAAACCTCTCTGTTTTCCAAGGTAGTCCACAGTCAGCCAAACTTGCCCAGTTTCGACGAGCATCCTTCGATAACGTGCGGAGAATGCGCTCTATGTTTGAGAAGGAATTCAGGTCACTAGCATTATTCATCTGACCTAGAGCAACGTGACATTTTGAAGATTTATCGGCAAACGAGACAATGAATCTGTCTGATCATGCAATGGTTTCAATTTCTTGAACAGATCGTCCAGTATGGCTCTGGCCACCATACGTTTTCTCCCAGAGAGTTCCTTGAGTGTTTCTCTCGCTCTACCGTAAGCAATCTCAGGAGGCAACATTACGCATTCAGCCACGAATTTGTCGCTGGACCCGTGCAGTAATGAATCAAGTATAGCATCCTTTGTCCACTTCGTAATGTTCTGTCCTCATGTAGTATTGGAACTGCTGAATTAATTTCCAATAGCACCTTGGGCTGCCGTCGGAAGCCTCCAAGTCCACTATCGTAGGTCTGCATTAACCACGCAAAAAATCGTTGCATCGCTAGTGCCTCACATGTGGGTGTGCTACATAAAATCCCGGCTAGGTATTCCTTTACCTTACACTGCGGGTCAAATTGTACGTTGTAGTGGTCTGGCTACCCGATAAGTTAGTTTACCAGGAGTGTGTGGCAAAGAAATAAAAATAATGACGCTAGGTTGGGTATACAAAAATAAAGAGATCAGATGGAACAGACTCGCTGACGATTGTTCTCTTTAAAATAGTTCGTCGTTGGCCCCGGTCAGCCAATCAACTATAATCCAATCATGTTTGTCCAGGGTTCTTCTTCTAAACAGTTCCCACATATAATAGATTCCGGAGATGTCTGAAATGTTTTGGTACCAGAGTTAGTACATGAGACTCGCGAATGACCGCTGCAAGCGCGAGCGAAATCAGAAGAGAGAGTCGAAGCACGTGACCACGCCTGTATTATGTGAAATTGTACACGTGCGCGTTTTTTAGCTTTCCTTAATTAAACAAAAAACGATTATGCAATTGATGAAATACGTAGTGTTATAATGTAAGTAAAATAAATGTACAAAGCGCCACATTATCATTAGCCTGTGCCCGTAGGTGTGCTGTCCCTTTAGCTGATGGAGTCGTGGTGTCAGTGATCAAGTAAACATTTGGCCATATTTTGGGCATACTTGTGATTCTGGTTTAGGCTGTACATGGACGTGTTCAAAACCAATGTCTACGTTCGATGATGGATGAAAATTCAGATTATTGGTGCAAAAACTTGGCACGTCGAAGTGAGAACGGTGTGCAGAATTGATTGTTCCCAAGCCACTCCAGGACTTCAGGTCTTGTTATACGGTCAGAACAATGTCTCATACATTTGGTCATCAAATGCAACTCTTCGGTACCATTCACCAATGCCTCGAGCTTATCAAGAAACGGGGGGAATTCATCAATTTTACCAGTTCTGTCGATCGGGAATGCGAACGTTTTAACGACAACAGAATGACGGAGAACCAGTCCAAATGCTTCAAGTATTATCGTTGGGCCATGATTTCCACCGCTAGCTTACGGCCGCAGAGGAGACTGCGCATGTGGCGGAGCATTTGTGATGGCGATCTGTCCCCAAGTTCGACAGTGGTGAATAGATCCCGTAGAATTTGTTTTCTGATTTCCCTGTCCTACTCAACGGCCGCTCGAAGGGCGTCATACGGATTTTCCTTAGGAATATCTTCCAACAGATCTTCAACTTGTGTTGCTACATCACAAGGAGAATGCTGGACACCATAGGAAACCCGGGTGACTTGGGAAGTGACGCGTCGAGTAGCAAAAATAGCCTCCACCTGGAGAAACCATACACTGGGGTTGCCTGGATCGTAGTCTGGTGAACGTATGCTAATCGCATTCTCGACTAAATCCGCTGAATCAAAGTGAGCCTCCATAATTACCGGGCAAAAGAAAAGAAAAATTACGACGAGTTGAAAGGAAAAGCTTTCAAGAAAGATATCTAGAAATACTCGGGCTCGCCAAATGCGTAGTTTTCTCGCTACCCAGTAAGTTAGTTTACCAGGAGTGTGTGGCAAAGAAATAAAAATAATGACGCTAGGTTGGGTATACAAAAATAAAGAGATCAGATGGAACAGACTCGCTGACGATTGTTCTCTTTAAAATAGTTCGTCGTTGGCCCCGGTCAGCCAATCAACTATAATCCAATCATGTTTGTCCAGGGTTCTTCTTCTAAACAGTTCCCACATATAATAGATTCCGGAGATGTCTGAAATGTTTTGGTACCAGAGTTAGTACATGAGACTCGCGAATGACCGCTGCAAGCGCGAGCGAAATCAGAAGAGAGAGTCGAAGCACGTGACCACGCCTGTATTATGTGAAATTGTACACGTGCGCGTTTTTTAGCTTTCCTTAATTAAACAAAAAACGATTATGCAATTGATGAAATACGTAGTTTTATAGTGGAAGTAAAATGAAGCTACATAACGCCACAGCGTCAACGACGGAATCATCGTCCGAATCCAGCTCTAACTCCGCTAGACGCACCTCATTACGTGCCCTCATAAGCTCCACTTCCTTTCACATTTCCTCTGCCTTAATCTGCGCCCGCACTAACACAGCTAACTTTAATTTTTTATGCTTAGATGAGTCAGAGCCGGGAGATGAACCAGTAGCTAAAGGATTGCCAGAACGGCGGATTTGCCTCGAATCCTCAGGTAGATAGAGGTCCATTGACGGGGATTTCTCCATCTTCTCCGAGTTCGTAGATCGTTCAGTACTGCGTCCGTAGATCGTTGGGTACTATATCCGTAGCCCGCTGAGTACTGTTACGACTACCTGCTTTCTGAGTTTGAGTCACGCGCTCCAATCCGGGAAAACGACCAAGAAATATGAATTCTGGAATCACGTTACTATTGCAAATATAGTACGTATATACATATTCAACAAACCTCAGCGGGTTTTCCTCTGCAGATACCGTAAGGTTACACAATAAGGCGGTACAATCACCGGCATGAGGATAGACACAGATCACTTCGCCTGAAAATCGATATCGTCACAACCAAACAGGTATCGGCGGCGAGCAGCCGCAAAAATCAAAATGTCCGACCGAAGTCCGTAAGAGTTATACAAATAGTTCAGTAAAACAAGCGGGTTTCAGTTCAGCTGGTCAAGGGGAATACATATGGGGATTGTGGGGATTGGCTATCACATGTGATTGGAAACGGGAGCACATTGTTGGCAAGCTCTCTTCTACACCATTGACGGAACACGTTGAGTTACGACAGATGAGAAAGAAAAGTAGAAGACACCACAGGCCAACACAATAGAACACAAACGCCTGTTCGAGCAATCCTCTAAAACAGCTATCACTGAGGTAACCAGCTCGGAATATTGAATGCATTCCTGGAAGAACACGAGATTAACCCCATTGCTTTATACAGGCAAATTGAACATCAATAGCGAAAAAGAGGGCTTCAGAAATCCACAACAAAAAGCGTCAAAACGAGTAAGAGGAAAATTTTGGCACCAGCAACTGACCTGTGTCGACTATGGCCCTCCGTTACGAACTTGCCTGCCCAAGCAGAGCAGGAACTTTAACAGGCGAAAAAAGATAGGATGTTTGTGTACAAACGCTACATCACACATCCGTGAATCCGTCATTAAGTACTCGGTATCTTGAATGAAAGAATATTCGGAAAACGTGCCAAGTGGCGCTCCTTCACATATATACTGTAGTTTATTCCAACCTCAAAAAGCCTGGAGAATGTGCAGATCAGTTTCACTCCGTGGTTTTCACCTTGTTATAATGCGCCAACGCTCTAGGTAAACGCAGTATTATGTTACCTACGCTGGGTGTTTATTCTTCAAACGGTGAGATTGGACTCCGTTCCCGTGTATTAAAAAAGCGTGACTGGTAGGATGCATGCATAGATGAGCAGTCTTTGACGTAGGCTACCTGAGGAGCAACCAGTAATTAAGCCCTCTGATTGGTGCAAGGACAACAATGATTCACTTTCCAACTCTATTTATGCACGGTATAAGAAGCACGATGGGGTATGTTAATTTTTTCCTCCTAAGTACCGTAAAGACCTCTTTCAGGACAACCTATATGTCACTTTGCAGTGATCGTGATAAAGGTGTACGGAAACGATTCCGTGATGAAATGAAGACAAGCACACCAT